ACATGTGAGTGAGATCATGGGATACTTATCTTTCTCTGACTGGCCTATTTCGCTTTTAGCATAATATGGCTGTTTTTCTTTTCCTCAAAACTTTCTCTTACCCTTTGAGACACCATGGAGGGACCTGAGGAGTATCATGCTAAGTGGGGCGGTGGGAAGGCTGTGCCTTGACTAACAGCTTGGATGGATGATGGCTGTCCTAGACTTGCGTTTTCCAGAGAATAGGTGTCACCTTAGATGTCAGAGTCCACTGCAAATGATGGTTCATGCTCAGTTAGTTATGGGCACTAAGTAAATATTAATAGAATTGATAAGATCGTGTTTTGGATAAAAACAGAAAAGCAATAGACTCTGACAAGGCTCTGTGTAATTAACCTTCATCTTTTGGGGCAAAGGAGAACTGAAGAAGGCCATTCGTGTTATCTATCCTTGGTTCATATTTTTGGAATTTGCTCCCACCTAGGGATCCCAAGGATTTCCTAAATGTCAATCTAACCGGCGTATCACTCAAAGCACACTTTAGTGTTTCTTGTGTTGTTGGCATTTTGCTCAGTTTCCTTCCAGACTTTTTTCTACAAAGTTTTTGTGATCTCTTCAGAGCTGAGCTCAAATTTAATACACAACTTTGTATCTCACTTTTACCAACTTATAATGTTTGCATTTTCCATGTTCTCATATAGATTTCATATTACATATGCATTTTTTGTTGATTTCCGAAAAGAAAGGAGAGGGAGAGAGAGAAGCATCAATGATGGAATCACTGATTGGCTGCCTCCTGCACGTCCCAAACTGGGGATAGAGCCCACAACCCACGCATATGCCCTGAACAGGAATAGAACTGTGACCTCCTAATTCATAGGTCAAAGCTCAACCATTGAGCCATGCTGACTGGGCTCATATAATATATGTTTAATGACAGTATAATGGTCCATTGAGTGCACGTGCCATGATTTATGTAACCATTCTCCATTTTTATTTCCCTTCTTCTGGATATTATAGGATATAATTTTGTTCCATAACACTTAGTCACCGGAAACATTACCTTTCTTTATTTTTTAAAATAAAATTAAATCTGGGTTTGAATTCCCACATGCATAGCTGACAAAACACCCAATAGCAGCCATCACTGGGGGGCTTTTTCCTGTGTGTTATGTTCAGGGTATCTGGAGAATGCTTGGTATGAAAGTTAGACTATTCTTGACTCTAAGCCATGCATATCTACCCAAGCTGGCCTAAACCATGAAGGAGATGCACGGGCCTGTAACTGGAAGTTCAGAGGAGGTTTCTGGGTTGGTCTGATTCAGTCGCTTGACAACATTATTGAGGACCCAGTTTGTTCCTATTTCTACATTCAACTTAACCCTGGTGTTAGATGGTTGTCAATTGATGCTACATTCTTCCTTGTGTGCATTCAGAGATGGGAGGAAATAGAAAGACAGAAAGGAGAGAGAAAGAGAGAGAGGAGAGAGAGAGAGAGAGAGAGAGAGAGAGAGAGAGAGAGAGAGAGAGAGAGAAAGAAGAAGAAGAAGAAGAAGAAGAAGGAGGAGGAGGAGGAGGAGGAGGAGGAGGAGGAGGAGGAGGAGGAGGAGGAGGGGGAGGGGAGGAGGAGGGGAGAGAGATTATTCCAGAAGCTTCCTCTGAATAGCAAGCAGGTTTCTGTCACAGATGCCCCCAGGAAATGTCTCCTCCTTTCCCATTGCCCTAAATTGGGTCACAAGCCCATCCCTGCACCAAGAGCCATAGCCAGGGGTCAGAATTAAGCTCACTAGTCTTTTGATTGAGACATATATCTTATTACTACAACTAATGTGGCTATTTCCCCCCCAAAGCACAAATGCACTGCATGGGGAAGTAAACATAGTTACCAATGGAAGAGGAATGCAAGATGACTAAAATGTCTCCTATACCTTCCAACTTCTGTTTTCAGTCCTAGCAACCAAAGCACCCAGCTGCACAAACACAGCTAGTGAAATCCCCAAGGCACAGCAGTCCTAAGCCCACACCCGAAGACCCCCCTCCGTTGTTTTGAAGGCGGGGGGAAGATCAGCTACCCCTTCCTTTGCCCCTCCAAGAGAAGCAAAAACAAATCCCAGATTTACTTTTTCAATTAATTATCCTGCTACACAATCTCTGTACTTAAATTTTTTTTTCTGACCTCCTATGGGGAGAAAGATTACTAAGACTGAAAACCCTCCTTAATTACAAATGAAAGGACCAGTATGAATGGACTTCAAGAGGATCTGCACCATTAAAATATTTTGTCCAAAAAATCAAGAATCTGGGCACTTGGAAGAATAGAGCTACTGCTTCAAATCACACACATATTTGATTAAAGATAAATTTAGCTAAACTTTATTAAGTAGCCCTCACTTCTCTAGTTCACTCACCTACACACTCTCAAATCCTACTTTTAAAATTAAAAAATGGGCTGGTGAATGAATCTTGGACACAACGGAAATTACCTTCAATAGGTAAATGAATAAATAAACTATGGTATATCCAGACCAGAACATACTATTCAGACCTGAAAAATAAATAAGCTCTCCAGCCACAAAAACACATGGAAGAGTCTTTGGTACACATTGCAAAATGAAAGAAGCCAAACTGAAAAGGCTACATATTGTATCATTTCAACAATAGGATTTTTGGAAAAAGCAAAACTATGCAGGCAGTACAAAGATCAGTGACTGCCAGGGTTTGCAGGGAGAGATGTATAGACAGAGCACGGAGGACTTTTAGGGCAGCGAAACTATCCTGTATGATACTATTATGGTGAATATACTATATCATAATACATTTTTCCAAACCCATATAATGTGCAACACCAGGAGTGCATGTTAAGTATGGATTTTTGGTTGCTAATGATGTATCAATGTAGGTTCATTGATTGTAACGAATGTACCACTCGGGTACAAGATGTTGATGGTGGGGAGTTTGTGTGCATGGGGGTGTGGGGGTATGCAAGAACTCCCTGTACTTTCAGCTCAATTTCGCTGTGTACCTAAAATTCTTCTAAACAATTCAGTCTATTTTTAAAAGTGCAGGCTGGTATTATGATAGAATGGAGAATCGAGAGTCAGGAGACCAGGATTCAAACCCAGACTATCATTTACAAGCTGTGTAATCTTTAATTATTTTAACTTTTCTGTGTGTTAGGTGAGTTTACAGGCGAATGAAACCTATAAAATAAGGATAATGTTAATCCATCAGATTTATTGTGAAGAGATAACATAGGTACTTTCACAGGGCATACAGTAGTTGCTCAAAAAATGTTGGTTGAGAGTGAAGACAGAGGAAAAGACAGGGAAACCAGGATTTCATCAAGTCAAGTGATGTTGGAAGCAATTTATAACAAGATCCACCAACTAGTGATGATGAGATAATCATCGGTTATTTTTTCCCCCTATGTTCCACTCCACTTTGGATTTGGGTTTTTGGTGTCATCAAATTATGAATTAATAAAGTTTCTATTATTGCTTGAATGACTCAGAATACTACCCTTGCCTTTGTTCTCTATTGAAAGCTGATGGGAAGAAATGCAATTTGGGGTAGGTTTTGTTACTGTTGTTGGTTTTCTTTTTATTTATTTCTTTTTATTTTTTTTATAGATTTCAGAGAGGAAGGGAGAGGGAGAGGGAAATAGAAACATCAGTGATGAGAGAGAATCATTGATTGGCTGCCTCCTGCACGCCCCACACTGGGGATCGAGCCTGCAACCCGGGCATATACCCTGACTGGGAATGAACTGTGACCTCCTGGTTAGTAGGTTGACGCTCAACCACTGAGCCATGCCAGCCGGGCAGTTGCTGATTGTCATTTATCTAATAAATATTTATTGTGAATCCAAATAAATAGTGACAGGTACTTAATGCTGAACACTGGAGATGAAGCAGTGAATAAGCCAGACTTGGGCTTAGTGGTCACAGAGCTTATGCCTAGTGCTGAAGATCAGCATTAATCGAATTATGCCAGAGTGCTTTGAGGGTTACAGTAGGAAGTGCAGAGAACCAGGAAACCATGTAGCAAGGGGGAACAAATCACCTTTATGGTCAGGGAAGGCCTCCCTTGATGTCAAAATGCTGAGTATGCGGAGGTCTGAGGAATTAACTAGAAGGAATAGGGGGCTGGATTAGAGTGAATAGGACAGGACAGCGGTTCTCACTCTTGAGTATGCATCAGAATGAGTTAAGAATTACTACATAATAAATCAGCCAACGACAAACATTCAGTCAACAAACTGTGAGAGTTTTTGTGGGTCAGGAGTCCAGGAGCCACTTAGCTGAGTACTTGTGGCTCGGACTCTCTCAGGAGGTTATAGTTGAGGTGCAGGACAGGGGAGGGATCAGCTTCTAAAGCAGCGGTTCTCAACCTGTGGGTCGCGACCCCTTTGGCGGTCGAACGACCCTTTCACAGGGGTCGCCTAAGACCATCCTGCATATCAGATATTTACATTACGATAGCAACATTACGGTTATGAAGTAGCAACAAAAATAATTTTATGGTTGGGTCACAACATGAGGAATGGTATTTAAAGGGCCAGAAGGTTGAGAACCACTGTTCTAAAGGGTCCTGCTTCCAAGCTCAATCTTTTTTTTTTTTTTAATTCAAAAGCACTTGTGAGCATTTAATGAACTTCCCTTCCTGGTAGCTTCAAGCTACCACGACACAGGCCTTGCCAGCACCCTTAATGTTCTCCTCAGCTCTTCTGCTGGAGAACTTGGCCTTCACCATGACATGCTGCTTTGGGAGCCTTCCCTTCCCCAGAACTTGGTAATAGCCCGACCGCACCACGTCAGTGACAGGAGCAGCTCCAGTCTTGTTTTTGGCAGCATTTACCCGTGTCTGCTCACCGACCAAGGTCCACAGTTTATCAAGGTTGACAGCTGGACAGAAGCTCTGGTTCCTCTTTAAGGGGTAATGCTTCACACTAGCTTTCCCAAAGGAACCCGGGTGATATTTGTCGAAGTTGAACCTGTGATAACTCAAGCCACCAGCATTACCTCAGCCTCCCCGGTGCTTCCTGTGCTTGCGATGCAGCCACGGTTGTGGCTCACGTGGTCCCAGAGTTTCTGGGTCTTTCTCAGTCTGGATGGCATATGGGTGGCCGAGATGCAAGAGCCCAAGCTCACTCCTGTGGGCCTCTCCCCAGGGCTGCTTTGCAACATGGCCCGTGGCTTCTGAGACAGAGAGAAAAAGAGAGAATATGAACCTCAAGATGGAAGCCACAGTCTTTATTTAAATTCACTTTATTTTTTAAAATATATTTTTATTGATTTCAGAGAGGAAGGGAGAGGGAGAGATAGAAACATCAATGATGAGAGAATCATTGATCGGCTGCCTCCTGCACGCCCCCTACTGGGGATCGAGCCCCCAACCAGGGCATGTGCCCTTGACTGGAATCAGTCCACAGGCCGATGCTCTATCCATTGAGCAAACCGGCTAGGGCTGTTCACTTTATTATTATTATTATTATTAGTTTTGTAATGTGTCCTTTAAATGTTCAGTAGTTATTCTATGATTATAACATATTTTTATTGCTATCATATTTTTCATTATATTACCTGAATATATTTTATTTTACATTTTGTCATAAAAAAGTACTGATTTTTCCCAGTTTTATTGAGATTTAATTGACATATACCATTGTATAAGTTTAAGGTGTACAACATGATGATTTGATATATGTATATATTGTGAAATGATTACTGCAATAAATTTAGTTAACATCCATCAACTCATATAGTTACAAATATTTTCCCCTTGTGACAAGAACTTTTAAGAGCCGCTTGCTTAGCAACTTTCAAACCTTCTAGTTATAAGATAAAGAAGTTCTGGGGATGGAATGTACAACATGATAACTATAACCAATAATGCCATATTGTATAATTGACTTTATTTTTTAGAATAGTTTCAGATTTATAGCAAAATTGAGAAGATAGTACAGAAGTTCCCATTCTTGCATTAGCCTGGTACATTTGTTACAATTATTCAGGAACAAATGTTGATACATTATTATTAAACAAATTTGGTCCCAAGTCCACCCTTTACTCAGAATTTCTTAGTTTTTACAGAATGTCCTTATGTATGTTCCAGAATCCCATCCAGAATAGCACCTTATATTTCGCCACCATGTCTCCTTAGGCTTCTCTTGGTCGTGACAGTTTCCTTGTTTTTAATGACCTTGATGGTTTTGAGGAATTACTGGTCAGGTATTTTGTAGGGCTGTAGCTGTTTAATAAGCTACTCTTTGAAGTGAGGTCTCATCACTCTAGCTATCCTCTGTTAGTGAGAAGCGTGTACTACTAAATCTCTTGAGGGGAAGAATATAAAAGAATTTGTGGCTATATCTTTAAAACCCCCATAGCTTGCCAGACCCCACCCCAGAGTTCCTGATTCAGTAGGTCTGAGATTGGGTCCAAGAGTTTGCTTTCTAACCAGTTCCCAGGTGACACTCCTGCTGCTGGTCCAGGGATCTTGCTTTGAAAGCTACTGGAAGTGGGGCCTATGGGCAAGACCTTGGTGTGTGCAGGAATCAAAAAAGGTTAATCAAGATCTATTTATTTCTCTCAAGACCTGTCTCACAACTACAACTCTCACTGAAATCAACCCACTGATTTAGCTTCTGGATATTGCCAATTTACACAAAACTATTAGCTAAAAATATGTGTTGCTGTATAAAACAGGTACAACAATATCTTGTATTTATATTAGATATGATTTATTTCATTTGATTGTCACAAATGCCAGGGAGAGAAATCAGGTATCTTCATCTGATATAAGAGGTAACTGGGACAGCAAAAGTCTAAGTGACTTGCTTAAGGTCTCACAGCTAGTTAATGATAGAACCAAGCTTGGGACTGGGTCATTTGAGCACAATTTCTATTATAATTATTCCCAACTTCTAAGATTTGCTATAAAGATATAGCCACAATCAATAAAACGACCCACATGACAGTTTAGGTAATCAAATCAACAGAATACATAGATTTAAAGTAGCATTTTGTGTAGTGGAAAAGGAAGGAGTGAAACAAGTGATTTTGAAGCTCAGGAACCAGCAGCATTTGCAGTTTAAGTTGGAAAAACCTTCCTCTTTACCAATATTCAAATTCTTCCTGCTCACTGACTCCCACAATAGCCAATAAGTACACGCTGCCTATAGGTAGCATCTGAGAAAGTCACTGGAGGAACCACAGGCCACAGGGTCTTCTTGCCTGCCCACACGCACCAACAGGATTGCTTAGCTCTGCCAGCAAAGCTCCTGGCTCAGTGGTTGAGTGTTGACCTGTGAACCAGGAAGTCACGGTTTGATTCCCAGTCAGGGCACATATCCGAGTTGTAGGCTCGATCCCCAGTGTAGGGCCTGCAGGAGGCGGCCAATCAATGATTTTCTCTCATCATTGATGTTTCTATCTCTCTCTCCCTTTCCCTCCTTCTCTAAAATAAATAAAAATATATTTAAAAAATAAAGAGGTTGTTAGTATGTCTCTTTCAGACTTTGGTTTGAATGGAAAAGACCTGGTAGTCCATATATCATACCACCACCAAGATGACTTGAAAATCTAGAAGTGGAGAAGACCATTGGATGTCTTTGAGTGTATGGATTAGTGTTCTTTAAATTCAGAGTAGATACGAAATAGGATTGAATGCATAAATACCAATTGGAGGCACAAAAGCTAAGTAGCTACACACCAATAATTTTATTCAGTGAGAAAAACAGTCTAATCAGACCAAAGGAGTGGTTTCTAACTACATTTTTACCATTCTTTAGAGAACATCCTGCCTTTCATTTTAATTGATGTTGACACGTTGCCAAAAATAAAATAAGGCTTGGTGGAAATGGTTAAAGCAAGCAGTACTTCATATGTTCACATTAGGAAATAATGATTTCATATACGGAACTCTGAGTTCAAGTTCACTCTTATGTAGACAAAGAATACCCAATACAGAGTGTAAGCATACACTTCTGTCCCAAAGTAGTGGTGCTGCTGGTGGGGAAGCAAGAAACTGTCCTATGGTGGTGGCGGTGATGAGGGTGTATGAAAGGTAGTGCCAATGACCTTAAATTGGATCCTTTCAACCCTAGTGGAGGTGGGGGCATGAAGCAGAGAGTCAGTGACCTTATAATTAATCCTGCCCAAATGGTATTAGGGGGAGTGCACAGGGGGCGGAGGGGGGAGGCACAAAACAAAGTGCCAGTGACCTAAAATTTGATACCATCCAATGGTGGTGGTGGTGACAGTAACTTTATTAACTTGTCTAAAAGTGTTGGCCCTATGGGAGGGTCGGGGGGAGGTGGTTGGGGAGCAGGAGCCACGGGCCACGAAGCAGAGCCAATGACCTAACAATCCTGTCCAAAGGTGTTCGCAAGAGTTGGGGGTGGGAGGGATGGGAGAGGCGGGGCTCGAGGGGGGGCACGAAACAATGAGTCAGTGACATTTCAGCAAATCCTGTCCAATAGTGAGGGGCGGGAACGAAGCAGAACCAGCGAGTTTACATTTGAATCTGCCCAAAGGTGGTGGTGGTAATGGAGAGCATGAAACAGCCACTGTAGTTAAGTGGCAAACAGAACCTGAGAATCAAAGTGTGGAGATGTAAGGAACGCGTAGAAGCGCAACAGCCAGCCTCCAGGAAAGGCCTCCGGAAGAGGTACCTTCGCTTGCGAGAGGCCAGGAGCGGCGTGTAGGATCAAATTCCCGACGTGGGCCCAGGCCTTCTTCCAATCCTCCTCCACCTCCGCCACCTTTCGGCCACTGAGGCCCCAGTCGGGGGCGGAACGTGCGGTAGCAGCACCAGCCAGCGCGGCTGAGGCCCCGGAGCGAGGGAGGAACGCACGCCCCGCCACAAAAGAAAGCGAAGGCGGAAGCGGCCAATCAGCGGCCGGCGCGCGCGGCGGCCCCGCCCCTCTCGCCCCGCCCCTCCACTCCCCTCCGGCGCCGCGTACGTGCCGAGGCCGGCTCCGCCCCCCGTGGGCGGGGCCTGGGGAAGCCGCGGGCGGTTGGCAGTATCTGGAGAGCTGCTGCCTCCGCTGTCGCTGTTGCTGCGGTAGCTGCATCCCCGCGTCCAGGCCGAGGCGGAGGCTGCGCGTTTGGCGAACGAGCCTGATCTGCGCCTCTCGGCTGCACCGGCCCCTGCGGTCGCCTGAGTGTCTCGGCTGGTGTGTGCACTGCCCCGGCGAGGATGCGGCTGTTCCGGTGGCTGCTGAAGCAGCCGGTGCCCAAGCAGATTGAGCGCTACTCTCGCTTCTCCCCGTCGCCGCTCTCCATCAAGCAGTTCCTGGACTTCGGTAAGTGCGGGGTCCCGAGCTCCCACGGTCGCCACGGTCCGGGCGCGGGGCCACTGTCTTCCGGGCCCTACGTCGCCGCAGGTCTCCGCAGTCTAAGTCGTGGGAACCGCGGGCGGGGCTCCGGGATGCCCGGGGGCTCTCCCAGGGGCTCGGATTTCGGGGCGCGCAGGGACAAGGCCTGGTACACCGGTCGGGGGCCTACCAGTAGACATAGAACCTCGTCCCGGGCGGAACTCCCTCCCCCCAAACCTGCATGTTTAGCTTCAGATCTACTTGACACAGACCTCCCTGCCCTTAAAACTTCCCAGCGGAATGCGGGTGGCTTTTTAAGTTTTTATTTTTAGATTTATTTTTATTTTTATTTTTTTGGTTGGGTAAGAGCTGTTTAGAAACACCTTGAGGTCGTATAAATTATGCAATGGCATTTTGTTCCTTTCCTGCTGTAAGACAGTGTTCGCTCGTGGCTGGAGCAGCAGGATTCGAACTGTTGTCTTCTTAGTGTCATGTTAAACAGAGGCCTGGGCTGCACACGCCTTAGGTGCTGGGGAAGAGGGGACGGTTGGGCGCCTATTGTCCGAGCAGGGTCCGATACAACCCAGGCACCTTTGGTTGCGCCTCAACTTTTGTGTGCTACCCTTCTCCCTGTCGGTTGGGCTAGTGGGCAGTTTTCAGGGGTTGCGGTCGGTTGGGCTGGTGGGCAGTTTTCAGGTGGGAGCCCAGAGGACCCGGTCCCCACCCCTGCCTGAGGCCTAGCTGAGATGGGAATAGATTCCACCACCTTATGCTAATTGGATCGTGTTTCCCCAGAGTGGTGCCCTTTCAGCCGCTGAGCAAATACTCCTAATTGCTGAATGCGAGGGGGCTGGTTGTGAAACACCTGAAAGTAAACCCAAAGTACTAACTCAGGTGTCAGAATGGAACTCGGCAGCCTGGAAGGAAAATAAAATGGAGCAGCAAAGATGTTCTAAGCTCCCAAGGGAAAAGAACCCATTATTCACATTTGTTCATTTCATAAGTTTTATGTAAAAGTCAAGGGATGATGTCAGGTGGACATAAAAACTAAAGTGTGGAGTAGGTAGAATACTCTGGGAAGACCCAATGTACAAAATGGGATGTCCATGCTTAAGTTGGAATAGGAAGAGAGGAATAGGGTAAAGTTGCAATAATATTCAGTTTTAAGAAACCAATTTGCCAGAGAATGATGAGGAAAATTGAAATTCATTGAGGTGTTGACTGTTGGATCTTAAACTTCACTCCCCAAAGCTTTCCAGTAGTTTTACTCTACCATATCTGGCCACTTGTGAGAATTTTAGAGGTTTGAGGCAACTTCTGACTTCAGAGTTTAGAAAGAAAATGTCACTGTTGCTAGAAACAGCATGTTTGCCATCTTTTAATTTATGGTTTAGAAAAGATTCTGAAGGTGTCAGCCTCTTATTAGTGTAAACTGAACCAGGCTAATTCACAATAAAGAACAAAAGAAACCTCAAAACTCCCAGTTCCTCCTTCCCCCCTCAAAGTTGAAGCTATAGCTCTAATAGCTTGGTGAAATTTCACTTGATTTATTTCTATAGCAGCTAGTATCTACCCACGTTAATAGGTGTCTTTGCAAGGATGGTATTTGAGAAGAAAAACCACAGTGGGGCATAGTGCTATTGTGGAAAACCTATGGGACCAGTATCTGGAAATAAATGTTCTAATTCTTGCTCTGCCACTGGCTCAAGAGTGTGGCCTTGACTAAGTGACTGAACCTCACTGGGGTTCATTTTCCTCATGAATAAAATGTGTGGATTATACCAGGTAATCTCTAAAGCACAGCTCCAAAACTCTGTGGTTGTAATTTCAAAGGAAAAGTGATGAGCTGTTGAAAAGAAAATTACCTAATCTTTTGATGGACATTTCACATAAAGGCCTCTGACCTGTCTTGGGAGGGGTGGAGGGATACACTAATCTAGGATACTGGAAGAAGCCTAGTAATTGAAGTCTTTTCCTTATAAGGAATTTTACAGAAGCGCTATAAAGAATTGTACAGTAGTGGAATTTCTTAGAAACTAAAGCTTGTTTGTAATACCCAGAGATGAATTGGGCGGCAGACAGCCTACCTTTGATGATAACAACTAGAAGAGCGTTGCCATAGAAAGACCATCTCAAAGAATACCTTCTCTTAGTTCTTTTAGCTCCTGAAAGAGGCTAGAAAGGTCATAAAGCTAGTTCCATTTTGGCAAGTGATATGGGAGCTTTAGAGTTTAGAATGATGGGTGTGGGGGTATTTTTAAGGTGAGGAGGGAGAAATAGAGGCTTTCTGCCTGTGTATGATTACAGAAGACTGCGGGGGGGGAGGGCACCTCAAATGCTTCAAAAACTAGGAGGGGAGGGGCAAATGAGTCAGTCAGGTAGGGGCAAACTCCCAGGTGCATGCTGGCTCCAGAAGGGGCAGCTGATTGGCGCCAGTTCAATATATAGAAGAAGGAAGAGGATTTCAGAGAGGAAGGAAGAGGGAGAGAGAGAGAGAAACATCAATGGTGAGAAACATCAATGATGAGAGAGAATCATGGATCGGCTGCCTCCTGCACACTCATACTGGGGACCCAGCCCGCAACTTGGGCATGTGCTCTGCCCGGGAATCGAACCATGACCTCCTGGGTCATAGGTCAATGCTCAACCACTGAGCCATGCCGTTCGGGCAGTTCAATGTATTTTTTAAAAACTTACAGCTCCAATGAAATAGATGCATGGGCCATGTTGACCCACACGCTGCCACTTTGTGAACTTTATGACCTTCTCCCTGGCTACTTTACAAACGGCACATAAATGTTTGACTAGAGTAACTGGACAGGGGCCAGAGAAAGGACATACACAGAATGTTATGCTTCAGTATTTGTTAGAACCATGTCAACAAGTACATTCTTGCTTCAATGGCCACTGGAACAGCTTTATTATACCAATTCCTTGTTTAAGAGTGAAGACTAGAACTGGTTGTTACTTCAGAAGCAGTGCTTTTTTATTTCTTCATTACATTTATTGGGGTGACATTGCTTGAAACCTATATGATCTTATTAAGCAGTGCTTTTATTTTAAAGGTGAAAGGGCGAGGGCTATGCCCTCCATCTTACAAGCAAGGGATGTGTGCGCCATAGAGATGACCACATCCTGTGTAACAAGACCCGACTTGCGCCTGGCCAATCGGCAGGGCCCACAGTCAGCTCCCCTCTCCTCACTATTAAAGCCCTGATTTTCTCATGGGTGGCACTCGGTTTCCGGTCGCTGCGTCGACTGGAGGCCCGGGTCGGGTTAGCTAACTCAATAAAGGACCTTCTGCTTTTGCATCGGACTGGCTCCCTGGCGTGGTTTCTTGGGGATCTTGAATTCTGGGCATAACAAAAGGAGTATTTATCAGCCTCAGCACTCTTGACATTTTGGGACAGGTCACTGTTCTGGGGGTGATGTCCTGCGCATTTACTAAAGCAGCATCCCTGGCCTCTACCCACTTGATGCCAGGAACAACCCCAACCCCCGAGGTGTGACAACCAGACAGGTCTCCTGAGAGTGCCACATCCCCTGGGGGAGCAATATCACCCTCTGTTGAGGACCACCGCTGTGAAGTATTTAGATCAGTGGTCTGCATACCTGGGTCCCATCACCTCAACTTCTAATATAAATGGTCTGGGGTGAGGTGCAGGGTATTGGCATTTTTTAGAAGATACCCGGGTTCTAAAGCATAACCAGAGTTGAAAACCACTAATTAGATGATCTGGATCTACAGTGCTGTCTCCCTATCATCTGTGTGCCTTTTTGTCTCTATGCCCTTTATTTTTTTCTGTATTTTATTTTTTGAAATAGGAAGGGAGAGGGAGAGAGAGAGAGAGAAACCTCAACGATGAGAGAGAATCACTGATGGGCTGCCTCCTGCAGGCCCCACACTGGGGATCAAGCCCACAACCTGGGCATATACCCTGACCAGGAATCAAACCATGACCTCATAGTTCATAGGTTGACACCAACCATTAAGTAACACCAGCTGTGCTCTTTGCCCTTTAAAATGATAAAAGTTTCTTGAACTCAACCTTTACTTGAAATATGTCCTTCCACTCTGCAAAGTGTAGGAAGAATAGCAAGTGGTCTAGATGGATCAAGAGTTTATGATGGCAATAATGCCTTCTAAAGGATGGGATTTTAAAAAATGATATTTTTCTTTGTGGTCTGAGATTATAGTCACATGGTTCCAAATTCAAAAGGTGCAAAAGGACATAGAGAAGTCAGTTTTCCACTTTTGGCCGCTAGCCTCCCTGTTTGTGCGCCAACAGCAGCTTATACTTTTTTCTATAACTTGCTTTTTAAATTGAATACCGTAGAGAGCTTTCCATAGCTGTATCAGCAGATCTTTCTTCTTTTTTATGGCTTTGGAGAATTTATTTATATGAGTGTGCTATATAATTCACTAGTCAACTCCCTGTCGATGGCTAGTAGGTTGTTTTGAATCTTTGCTGTGACAACCAGTGCTATAGTGAATTATGGTCAG